CGAAGGGCCTGTTTCCACACTGTAGGGATTCAATGAACTGTACAGCATGTTGGTGAGGCCACACCTGCTATATTTTATACAGTTTTTGACCCATGTATTTAAGAAAGGATGTACTGGCACTGAAGGAAGTTCAAGAGAGATTCAGTATGCTGATTCCTGGGATGGTATTGACTTATCAAGAACAGCTAAACAGGTTAGGCTTTTGGTCATTAAAAATTTAGAAGAATTGGGGCAATGCTATTGAAACAGACAAGATTTTGAGGTGGGGTTTGACAGGGTAAATGTTGAGATGATGTTTCCATTAGTGGAGGAATGTCAAACTAGGGACATAGTTACAAAATAAGAGGGCAATCATTCAAAACTGAAACATGAAGAAATTTCTTTTCACAAACAGTCATGAATGTCTGAGATTCTCTAATCCAGAGAACTGCAGAGGTTAAATCCCAAAGCATTTAAAAAGAGAAGGTAGATAGGCTTTTGAAAATTTGGCAAGTTGAGGACTGTGATGACCTGATATGATACAAAGGTTGAGCCCTGGGGAAAATCAGCCATAATCTTGTTGAAAGGCAGGGCAGGTTTGAGAGGCTAAATGGCCTACTCCTGCTCCTATTTCTTACCCTCTTAAGTGAGAATTTCAGAATGATTACAGCTTATAAGGAGCCCTCTGTCTCTATAACAGCAGCTGTTAGTTCCCCAAGTTGGTGTTCCTTGTAAATATGCAAATTTTCCTTTTGTCTTCTGATATTTATCTTATTCTCTTTTTAAAGCAATAATTGCATCTGCCTCCACCATGCAGTTGGGTAGTGCATTCCAGATCCTAACCTCACACTGAAATCAAATTAATCATTGATACTGTTTCAATATGGGGAGTCATGGATACTAGTGGTATCCAGGAGTACAGCAAGTGCTCCCAACTGCACAAACATGAGCTCTAGCTTTCAGAGCATAAGCAGCAGCTGAAGACATTGCGGCACATTAGCTAGGCTGAGGCTAAGACTGACAAGGGTAGCATATTTAGAGAGGCGGTCATACCCAGATCAAGGGTCTGGAGGAATGAAGGGAATCAGTGAACACCAGGCAGTCAAAGAGGCAGGTAGTGCAGAGTCCCCGGGATTCTGTTCACAAATTGGTTTTCCAATTTAGAAGCTGATGAAGGTTTGTTCCTCAAGGGAGTACAGTGAGAGCCAGGCTTCTGGCACCACAAGTGGCCTGCTTGTACAGCTGGGGAGGAAAATCAAAGGAGTGATAGGAGTAGAGGATTCATTCGTTAGGGGAACAGGGGAAAATCTCAGCAGGTCTGCCAGCATCTGTGGTGAGAAATCAAACAATGTTTCAGGTCCAGTGACCCTTCTTCACATTTTAAATTTGTTCTGAAAAAGGTGCAATAAAAGGGTTTTAGATTGGGATAAGGCAGACTTATAAAGGCAGGATCTGGCCAAAACAGACAGGAAACATCTACAAGAGTGTAAATTTACAGAACAGTGAGAGGCATTCAAAAAGGCCCATCTGACAAAGGAGCAGCATTCCAAAAGCTTGTGACTTTAAATAAATCTATTGGACTGTAATCTGATAGTGTGAGATTTCTGAAAAAGGTACTGAGTAGTGTACAGGCCCAACATGTTTCTTTTAGGGTAAGATGTAGGAACTACAAGTCCAGAGAATCTGGATGTCTAGGAATATTCAGGACTGGACAGTTTTCTAACAAAAAGAGACACATAACAGGAGCAAAATAACAGAAGACTGAAAGGAGACAAAGTATGGGTGTGGAGTTCAAGAAAGCAATTGGGAGGTCAAATGATGGGACATGAAAAAATGCTGGTAGTAAAGATTAGAATCCATTAGGGATCAAGGGGGCAATTTGTGCATGAAGCCAGAGGATAGTGGTAGTGTTAAACAAAACTTTAAATAAATTTTATATCTGTCTTTACTTGGGAGCAGGATACAGGTACAGAACTCGAGAAGTCCTTGAGCAGATTGATGCAAGACGCAAGGAGATACTGGAAATTTAAGGGATTAAAAGCAGACAAGTCCCCAGGTCCAGACGACTTGTATCCCAGGCTACTGTAGGAGATGAGGGAGGAAATTACAGCAGCACAGAACCAAAAAAGCTTTAAAAAAAGTCTCGCCACAGGAGAGTTGCCATAGGACCGGAGAACAGCTAATATGCTTCGAATTTACAAGAAAGGTGGTAGAGATAAAACACTAGAGTAGTGATAGGAAACTATTGGAGAAAATAGTGAAGAAAATAAATCTCTATTTAGAGAGAGGCAAGGTTTGATCAAGGATAGTCAACATGGCTTTGTCAGAGGGAAGTAATGCCTGACAAATCTGAACTTTGAGGAAGTGATCAAGTGTGTCAAATTAAGGTAGGCCAGTTGATGTAGTTTATGTAGATTTCTGCAAGGCCTTTGGCAAGGTCTCATATCGGAAACTAGTGAAGAAGGGAAAAACTCATCACAATCACAGTAACTTAAGTAGAATCCAAAATGGGCTGAATAGCAGGAGTCAGAAGGTGGTAGGGGGCTATTTATGCCACTGGAGTTTGGTGTGCAGTGGCATACCACAGGGATTAGTGCTGGGTTCCTTCTTGAGACAGACAGACCAGCGCAAGCGAGACAGGCATAGAGAGAGAGACAGAAGGAGTCTTAGGTTACAGGTGAAGGATATGAACAGATTCGTCAGATATGGTCAGTTGCAGATGGAATTTAACCTTGATACTTGTGAGGTGATGCATTTTGGGGAAGTAAGAAGACAAGGGAGTACTCAATGAATTGCAGGACACTAGGAAGCTCAGGTGAACAGAGGGATTTGGAGTGCTTGACCACAGATCCCTGAATGTGGCATGACAGGTTAATAGGGTGGTTAAGAAAGCATACAGGACACTTGCCCTTATGTGTCAAGCCATAGATAGAAGTGCTGGGAGGTTATATTGAAGTTGCACAGAACTTTGGTTAGGCCACAGCTAGGAGTACAGTGCATAGTTCTGGTCACCATGCTATTGAAAAAGATGTGATTACACTGGAGGTGCAGAGGATATTCATGAGGATGTTATCTATGAAGACAGGCTGGATTAGCTCAGGTTCTTTCCTTTGGAGCAGAGAAGGTTGAGGTGGGACCTTATAGAGGGCGAGAAGATCATGTGGTGCACAGACAGGGTGGATAGAAAGCAGCTCTTACCCTTGGTCAAAGGGTCAAGAACAAGGAAACACATTTTTGAAGAGAAAGGCAGGAGGTTTGGAGTGGGTTTGAGAAAGTATTTTTTCACGCAGAGGATGCTGGGGTCAGAATACACTGTCAGCGTAGGCGGCAGGTAACTTCACAGCCTTTAAAAAGTATTGGCTGAACACCTGAAGTGTCATAACATTCAAAGCTATGGGCCTGGTGTGGGAAAGTGGGGCTAGTGGGTTGTGTTTGGTGATGGACACTTGATGGGCCAAACAGACTCTTCTGTGCTATATAATTTTACGATAATGACTTCAGAAGCTTCAGATTGGATTTAGAAAAATGTTAAGACATGGGGAGAAGGCAAATTGTTGGCAATAACATACAAACGTACTTGAAAGGAAACCACCAACAATGTCACAATGTTGTCAAATCAATTTTTGGTAATTACAAAGTAAGTTAAAATTATACAAAAGATAACTAAAGATTACTGGTTGCTTTCAGAGTAATTTGATTGCCAGAAATGGTATTGGATTAAAAAAAATTGACCAGTAAACATCTTGAAGTCAGTCACAAACTGAGTATCTGCAGATTTAGGTGTTGCTTTAGAAAACAGAAAGATTTCAGTGTCAAAATTTAGAATTTGTGTACAAGTGTGAGATGTCCTAATGGGGAGTTCTCAAAAGTTGCACACACAAATACATTTCTCAAATGGGTTTATGAGAAAGAAAAGACTGCATTATTTTCACCCATTGCTAAATATTTCTCTGCAGCTGGTTATGATGAGTCATTAGTACAGTACAGGCTTTGATTTAGCTGTCTTTCTGCAATATTGTTTGGTGCATTTGGAATACATGAGAACAATGAGCAGAGAACTTGGAACATTTATTGTAACTGTATTTACCTACCCTTAGGCTAGTCAAATTTTACAAACTTGCTCTTCAAATTCTCTCTTTGAAAAGGGAAAGGGCTTTCAATACTTATGCTTTTACCATAATTTCCTTTGAATGGAGGGAGAAAGATGGGAAGATTAACTGCATGACATGGGAGCAAAGCCATTCTTAAGATGCAAAATTATTCACCGAACCATGCAGTTTAAAGACAAAATTTATCAAGGAAAGCTCTAAATATTTATGTACATTCTTTAATATGCATGTGCAAACATAACATCTTGTAAGCTTTAGTCAGAAGCAGGATTTGAGAAGATCTGGTAGTATTTTGGGAATAATATATTTATGTCATTGCACTGCAAAGACTGCATATCCTTCAAGACCCAAATTACAATCTTATCCAATGACTGAGGTTTCATCATACCGAGCGTTCACAATATTCAGAAGATCCAGATTCATAGCGAAGGAGAGTTATTTATTATATCACAATTCAAGAAAGATTTAACAATATTTTGTTGTTAATTTAGCAGCATTGGTTAACTTTTGCAGAAACAGTACAAACGATGGTGTGTAGTTGGAAAATTCAAGCCTACTTGAAATCAATTCCAAAATTGAAAAGGTACCGTCCAACAGTTCACCTCAAATCTGTACAGCGCAACAACTTAAAAATAAAAGTCTGATGCTTAACCTGTTGTTAACAGCAACACATTAAATTCTAGAATATTTCTGGGTGGAAATATAGATTGCCCTCTGTCTATATACAGGCTTGGGCATTCATTTCTCAATTCTACTCCAGTTCCATCTTTACAACTACAAAAAATTAACCAATGAAAATGGACTTTTTAAGAAGAGGTTTGATTTAGACGTAATGCTAATCTTTACAAAGAATATATATCAGATTTTGGATAATCTGATGACAAAAAAAATGACCTGACCAGACAGTGTATCTAGATTTCAATAGAAATAAACAGTTTATTAAGATTCATTTAGGTAATGATACTCAATGTGGACGGCATATAAAATATTGCAGGAGAAACATTATAGTCTTGAAGAACACAAGAAAGTGCAGGGCGTGGAGGTTCAAATGTCTTTGAAAATATGGACAGATAAGTTGGTGATTTATAGTACTTCACTGGTTTTTACTAATCATGAGAAGTGGCTCTTTGAATCCAAACAATCTTACACAACAATTTGTTAAAAAAGGTCATATAGAAGATACACAAGATTACAATTATGCATCTTAAAAAGTAGCTCACAACATTGAGCAAATTACCAAAATGTGTACTTTAAATTAAATAAATTGACATTCTGCTTTAAAAGATAGCATGCTAAAGGGTTTTAATAGGTACAAAATATTGTCCTGCTATGCAACTTGCGAGATCATTTCAGACTCTGGTCACAGATTAATATATTTGCTTTATGACACATTTTATTTCAACATTATGAAAAGATTCAGTAAATACAATTAATTAATCATTCATCCATAAATGGGGATTTTAAAAAATAAACTGATCTACGTGTGCACGTCAGATGACACTGGATAAAGGTGTGCGCCGCACAGCATCACGGCAATAGAAGTGACTTCAAACTTTGCATGCTCCCAGCCTGTTAAGCCATTTGCTTAAAACACAGATAGCCCTTTTAATACCAAACAGTCAACTCCAAATTTTAAATGTAATTATATGCTGCGTCAGTATCAACCGACTTTGAAAATGCAATCACCATGACAAACAAATTAAGTAGTTAACTTGCACATGATCACACCACTTGGACTACCAAACCTGATCGGAAGATGCCCAAACTACCTGAAAATTCTAGTCCTAGTACGTGACACTCATCCCAATTTCCATGATAATGAACTTGAAGTGTTCAACAATCCAATATCAGCAGTTATACAAGTGATCATAGGAGAGAACATTTAACTAGAGTTCTGCTTTGGATAGCAGTGATAATTTACACACCAGAACTTCACACCTTTTCCAGTTTAGGCAGCGGGTTCTAGCAACTAACACAAATATCGTTTTAATATTAAGTATTAAGTTGTACAACAATGGCATCTGCGAAGATATTAACAGTAGGTAGTACTAAAGGTAGTACTGGCTGACAAAGACTTCACAGCAATGTTTACAACTGCATTGCAAAACACAACTTTCGTGTTAAATTTCAAAGACTACAGAAACAAGAAGATGAAAATAAATTCTGCACAAACTGTGGATTTACAAATATTACTTTCCAAGGAGACAACACATTAGAAATTATTCTTCATATTAACTACTTTTTTAAATTGTATTATTCAAAAACAGTACGGTTTTTGTTGTCAGAGGGCACGTAAGTATGGCTCAGCATAAAGGGGGAACACATTCTTTAGGCTCTGGAAAACCTGGAAACAAATTTGGAAAAATGGGTAGCTGCGAAGGACATATCCATCATATATGAACGAATTCTAGCAGTATTGGGCCATTGCCTTTTAACAGCCCAATCTTCATAGTTCTTCAATTTTTAGTTATTTAATATATCTATATTATTCAGGAATATGATGTTGAACGTGTTTACAAACAGAGAAGTGGCTACCAACAATTTTATAGACTTCAGTAGTTTTTCTACAATATCAATGTGAGAAAGTCAGAAATACCAACAGGGGTGCTAAAACCTGTAACACCACCCATAAATTTGAGATGAGTGAGCAACAGCACAATTGAAAAGCTTTCTTGTACACAACTGAAGAATGCTCACTTGAAAGATACAAAAAGGTTCCCAGCAAGAGCCTACAACTGTGGTAGGTTATTCAATCAACATCCAATCCAATCCTCACCTAACTTCACACATTTGTATTAAAACAACCTGTAGCAGGAGCCAGAGCAAAATTTATTTCTTTTAAACTTCTTCTCTCACCTGCTCTCTGCTTCTCGTCCTCCTTTCATCTCCCCCCAGCACACTCACCTTCGAGAGATGAGGGAGCACAAGAAAATAAAAAGGAACATCCAGCAATTTTGCAGAGGAAAAGAAAAATCAGCAGCTTGAACTAGGAAATCTACAGTATACTTCACCAAAGAGTGAGCAATGTTTGATTAAACATATCCCTTTTTAAATAATGATCAACGTTAAGTCAAATGTACCAATTGAGTAGGAGGTGGCAAAACTGTGTCAAAATTTCACACATGAATTAAATGCCAAACTAAACACCTCAAAGTATACAACAATTCACTTAAAGTTTCAGGACCATCTTATACCAAAAGTCTGATGCGACTTTCAGGCCATTTGGCATCTATCAGATGCAAGAAATGGATTAGCTGTCAACTTTATAAAATTGTCTGGTCTATCAAAGAAGCTCAATTAGCATAATTTATTCAGAGTACATTCTTTAATAGTTAACTTTCACTATGATAAGTGGCCATACCACAGAGAGAAATCCTAAGTTCAGTTTGTGTTTTTTCAGAAGCATCTTGCGATTCTTATCCTGTTGAGGTGAATGGGACTTGCCACTGATTTATTTAAATCACAAATTAAAACTATTTTCTAATGTGGTAGTATATATCCAGTAGTTGTTGTTTTGAAATGATCATCATAGATAAGGTTACGTGTTTATTATTAACTAAACACAGCAGATGTGTGCTGCATTATGATACATTGCTGTTGATTACATGAAAATTAATTTGTTGTGTTTCGTTATTAGAAATGTGGATTTAATTTAAAAAAAAGAAAATTCTAGAAATTCTCAGCAGGTCTGTCAAGAGTGGAATAATGTTAACCTTTCAGTTATCATCTAGTAAAGTCTGGCAGAGATGCCCATGATCAAATAGAACAAGGGAACAGTGATGGTTATATGTTGGGTAAGCATGGATGTACATATATGTACATATATGGAGAACAAGTCATCAACTGAGGTCAGAGGTTTGATTTGCGAGCCAAAATAAAACTGACCAAGAATCGACCTCTCGTATTTAACATAAAGTCTATGTGACATGCATTTACGGGTTTTTTTTGGGGGGGGGGGGGGGGGAGAGGGAGGGAAAGTTCAAAGGAGATGCGGGGCAAGTTTTTAAACAGTGGTAGGTGTCTGGAATGCGCTGTCAGGGTGATGGAGGCAGATACGATAGGGATGTTTAAGGGGCGTTTAGAGAAGCACATGAATAGGCAAGGAAGAGAGATATGGATCAAGGACGGCAGAAGAGATTAGTTTAACTCAGCACCACGTTTGGCACAACATCATGGGCCGAAAGGCTCATTCTTGTGCTGTACTGTTCCAAGTTCTACGTTCTATTTGCCTCGTGTTATATCCCAAGGTGACTTTACCTTCAAAGAGACATCTACCTCACTGTAATCTGACAGCAAAATTTGAATATCACCAAGCAGTCAACAATTTATGCAACCTTAGAAGAAGCAGAGCATTGTTCAATTTCTTGCAGTGATTATAATAAATTGAATTATATATTCTTCAATAGCCAAATCTGTAACACGTTAATTGTACAGATCCTACTCTCACAACACTGTTTAAGTCATAAACAAACCTAGGATTAGGAATTTTCCGTCATATTCAAGAATTACAATACTCCAGTTGTTCTAGATTGCAATCACATCAAAACGCTAGAGGAATCTTTTAGTTTTAAAGAACGGTGAAGGTTGTTATGCAAGGCAGTGGAAGGATGTCAGTGAGTAGTCAGGTGCAATTACTTTATAGGCCTCATTTCAATAGAATAAACTTAGAAAAAAAAAGTTTGAATGGGGGAATTAAAAGTAAACTCAAGATCAAGACAACAAAAAAATCTTTAAGGTATTTTGGATCATATTAAGTGCCCTGTTATTATTGTGATCTAGGCTTATCCTTCTTAAAAAATTATATATAAAAAGTGGATAAACCTACTGTTTCCTGGTCCATAATATTATTCTAATTCGTACTGAAGCAGCAAATGAAAACATATTAAAATGAATTAATGTCATCACAATCAAGCAATGAGATTGGTTACTTATTACAGTTGGGTATCAATTATACCCCGTAAAATAATCCCTTCAAAACAGTTAACATTTTCACCAAATGGTACAACGAATTCTCAGTGCAAACCAGAGAGAAGACCAACAGATATGCACACCACAAGAAGTCACATAACTGTTAGCTTGGTTTAACATAAAACAACTGTGCAATAAGACTGAAAGATAGGTGATCAAGAATCATTTTCTCCACATATATATGCAGCACAATCATCCTTCATACATTTTTTTGCACCTTTACTGCTATAGTCGGCACTAAAATGATCTGCAACACATCAGAAGCAAAAGCCAAAATAAAATTAAAGTTTCTCTTGAAATAAAATAATTCTATTACGCTCTGCTCCTACAGCAGACTTCTCAGCACAGGCAAACATTTCCTTGGAGAGAATGAAAGACGAATTCTACCAGGTCGACAGGGCCAAATGAAATAGGACTTTATATAACTCTTAGCATCACATTTTTAAAAAAAAAAAACTGTCCAGAAGAGGTCTTGTGCCGTAATCTATTTTGCTCATAGACATCTGTGGCTGCTCCTTCCTTGGTTGCTATGTCTGCTGCTCAGTAGGTCTCATCTGAATGTCTCCAATCTGAAGTCAAACCAGAATCAGTAGTTAGTTAAATAAAACCAATGCATACTTTCAAAGTAATCATTATGAATGCTTCCTGCATCTACCTTAAGTTAGATTTGTACTAAACAGCATCCCTTTTTGATCCTAATCCTGAATAGAATATCAGGATAAAACGAAAAGCAGCAATTAGTTTGGTAATTCTCTAATTCTAATAAAAACTGTATCAAGATTTCACAATACAGAGCAGAATTGAAAATAATGCTTGACACTGTAGGGGATGAAACACTGTACACAGTTAAATAGAACACATCCTGTGAAAATCTGTATGAAACTTATAGCAAATGGCACTCAAAGGGGCAAGGATAGGAAACATTATGTACCAGATTGAGGAAAACAGGGGGGTAAATGTATCGAATGAATAATAAAAAAATGTAGTACATATTAGATTGTGGATAACTACAGCAAATAACCACAAGGACAAAGCAGGGCCATGACTAATCTTTCATCAGGTAGTCAGATGGAATAAAAAACTCAAACATTTAAAGTGCTATCAATAAGTTTTTGTTTAATGCTATTTTAAAACATCAAATTACATAGAACGTATAACACTAAAACATGTAATTCCACCTGATCAATCCATGGAATATTAATGGCACACTTGAACCTCTTTCTAGTTTACCTCCTCCTTTGTATGCTCATCTAGCTACCTCTAAATGCCTCTATACCACTCACTGTGGCAGAATGCTTCACATTCTTGCTAACCTTCTGGATATAAAAATGGTTTTCTGAATTAACACATTTTGGATTTCTTAGCAATTAGCTTAAATGGTGGCTCCTTGTTCTAATGAATCCCACAACTAGAAGCATTCTTCCTATCTGCTTTGTATAGTATGAGCCTTTAATAATGTTAATGTTAAAGGTCTCGAAGATCATCCTCGGCCTGCTCTTCAGGAAAGAGGCTAAAGTATGTTCCATCCTTTCCTAGTAGGTATAACTTTATTGTTCAGGTATTATACTTGTAAATCTCCAGTGATTCTGTACCTTTCTATAATATGGTAGTCAAAACTTAACTGTAATGCTAGTACAGTCTAATAAAAAACAAACAATTTATCACTATTTTTCCAGAAAAAAAACTCACTCACTTTGTTTTTGCTACGTCCTTACTGGCTTGCATTGCAACTCGCAGAAATTTCAGGTGGTGGTTCAGTTCTTTCTGCAGCAGTTCTTCATGAGCAACATACAGCTTGCCATTCCTACACCTTCTCCACATAACCCTACACACTGTTTAACTTCCTTTTGAAAATCTTAATTGGATGTCTCCAAACTGAGGCAGTGCATTCCAGAATCAAATCACTCATTTTCCTTGCATCCCTTTTTCTTCTTTTACTAATTACCTCAAATTGGTGCCCTCTTGTTCTTTGCGCTTTCCTGAGTGAGAACAGTTCTTCTCTATTGTTCACATTGCTCATGATTTTTAATAGTGCCAAATCTCTTCTCAGCTTTTTCTTAAGGAAAAACAGTCCTAACTTCTCCAATTTATCTTCCTAAATGAAGATCCTCATCCTTGCTCTATGATCTCTAATGCTTTCACATTCTTCCCAAAAGTGAAGTGCCCAGAAATGAACACGACACTAGTGGAAGCAGAGGTAGTGCCATATATAGTGTCAAAATAACTTCCCCTGCTCTTCTATTCTATGTTATTATTACTAATGCCTGGGATATTGTATGTTTTATTAATCTCTCGCTCAATCTGTCCTGCTGCCTTTCCAAGCTCTTCCTACCAAAATGAATCACTTCCCTTTTCTCCACGTTGAATCTTTTAAGTGCTCACCCAATTCACCAACCTGTCTATTTCCTCCTGTAGCTCTACATTATCCTCCTCCAAAGTTCGCAGTGCTCCAAAGTTGCACATTGGCTGGCAAGTTTTGAAAAGATGCCCTATGCACCATGATCTAGGGCTTTAAGATACACAGTAAAAGCAAAGGTCCCAATACTAACCGCTGGTGAAAATTTTCTCCAGCTGTAAAAATATTGAACCATTACTCACTCTTTCTTGATGCTCAACTAATTCCATACCATATTGCTATTCCATGAGCTATAACTTTGCACACAGGCCTGTTCTGTGGCACTATATCAAATGTCTTTTAAAAGTTCATGTACACCACATCAACAGCAATGCTCAGTCTTCCTGCTTACCTTGTAAAATAGCTCCAGCAAATTAAATATTTTTCCTCAAGAACTCCATTCTGGCTTTCCTTAATTAACTCTCGCCTGTCCACATAACTGCATTTTTTTCCCCAAATTACTATTTCTAGAAGTTTCTCTAATGTTTTCCCACCATCTAACATGAATTGACTGGTCAGTACTTATTGGGCTTATCTTTGTCTTTACTTGAACAACAGCATAACATTTGAAATTGTTCAGTGCTTTGCACCACCCGAGAGTCGAAGGAAGACTGAAAAAAAAATATAATGGCTAGTGCTTCTGCAATTTCCACTCACTTCCCTTTGGGAGTCCATGCTGAGGATACAGTCTCATCATGTACTCTGTCCTCAAGAGCCTCGAGGTAAGCTGGTGCAGACTCCCAGCCTAGAGGTGAAGCCTGGCACGGTTTGGAGGCTAGCCGCTAGTGTGGATCGGGTTGGAAGAACTGTTATTCTGAACTTTGTATTTCTTCATTTTTCTAATTTGTTCCTACTATTTTGTACTTACGTACCCAAGTTGGTGTGAAGATTTGTAATGCTAGACTTTTTATTTCCTTATTTTTCTCATTTTTTTCCAAACAACTTGAACTGAAGAATCTCTACCTAGGTAAATTTGTACCTAAAATGATGTCATAAGCGGTGACTTGTAAACTTTTCACTATACTCACAGTGAGTATGCATGAGATAAGGCTAACTCTAATTCCTTGGGTGCATCTCACCTAGTCCCAATGTCTTATCAACTTTAAGTGCAGATTGCTATCTAATAACAACACTGCTTCAATTTTAAACCCCTCTGGTGTCTGAATGATCTTCTTTATTACCACCAATAAGATGCTACCCATGGAAAAGATAAATGTAAAATATTCATTTAATATATCAGCCATGGCCTCTAGCTCCATGCAGAACTCCTTTTCTTGGTCAATTGGCCCAAGTCGTCGTCCTACCATCTACATACCTATTGAAGGCCTTGGAGTCCATGTTACATTTTTTTTTGCCAGTTTTGTTTCATACTCGCTCCTTGATACTTTACTGCACACCTGCCCCCAACCCAAACATTCTATGTTCAGCTTGTGTTCCAGTTTTACCTTCCCCCGACAACTGTCACAAGCCCATTTTATAATCTTCTTTATCCTAATTTCTATCTCCTCTGTCATCCAGCGAACTCTGGATTTGTTTTCCCTACCTTTCCCTTTTCAGGGGATATACTGAGTATGCCCAAAATAACTCCTCTTTTCAAGTTAGTCCATGATTGGCTACCACATTTGTTTTTGAACAACATAACACTACAATTGTCCAGTCCTTGGCACCACCTGAGACACTCCAAATCTGCCTACCTTAGACTAATTTATTTAGCCCAGATTTACTCTTACCACATTGAAGCTGGCATTCCCACAGTTAATTAAGTTAGTTGGTCTTACTCTGAATTGATCTTTGACCTTTTCTAAAGTCAGCCTAAATCCTGTGATATAACAATCACTGTCCCATAGATGTCTCCCTAGGCCACTTGATTACTTGGTCCACATCAATTCCAAGTAACAAGTCAAACAGACCTCTTTCCACGTTGGACGGGAAACGTGCTGGAGGAAATTTTCTTGAAAACGTTGTATGAACTGGTCCTTCTTGGTCTTTTCAACGACAAACCATTCAAATAAAGACTGAGATAGTAAAAGCCACCATTATAAAACTACTCTATACTATTTGAAGCTTCCTACAATTTCCTTGCAATTCCTACAATTCTTCTCATTAACTGGAATCCCAAAACCCTTTTGTTCCTCAACTCCAGCCAAACCAATTCTGTCTTTGATCCTTCTGGGACATCCTCTCCTTCCAGCGCAGTAACGTTCTCCTCAAATGAGTCCCACCGGCCTTCCTCCTTTCCTACCTCTCCTTAATAGCTTATATCCAGAATATTTAACGTTCTGACCTACCCCTCCTTGATACAACTCTCCATTATACCCACAACATCTCAAAGCCATGTGGCAATCTGTACCTAAAACACTATCTATTTTAACACACACTTGCATTTACGTACATGCATAATAACTCTGACTTAGATGCTACTATTCGCTAAACCCTAAACTTTCTCAGCTCTAAACATTACTCTCTAAGACTTACTATCCACTCTAGAAGAGCACTAGCAAAATTGCCCTACAAAGAATTCAGTCCTGTGCAACCTACCTGGCTTATACAGGTCCCACCGCCCCTGTGGCAGGTTCCAACATCCAAAGAATTTAAAGCCTCTCTCTCCTGCACCATCTTTCCAACCACATATTCATGTGTTTTACTCTTAGTTCTGTACTCGTTTGTGCATGGCACTGAGTGTGATTCAGTGTTTACTACTTTTGAAGTCTTGCTTGGCAATTTCTTTTAATTTATCTCTCTGACTGCAGAACCATGTTCCTTTTCCTAGATATGTAAATGGCATTGACATACGCTGAGACTTACGGCGCATCATCCTCTCCCTTCAGGATTCTACAACCAGTGACATCCTTGATTACATCCCTGTGTTCCTTCACCACAATTAGATATTTAACTTCATTTCCAAACAGTAGGAGACCTCCTAAATTGAGTTCTCAAATACAAGAGCTCACACTAAATTTATACATTGAAATTCACTTGTCAATTATATAATCATTCTGCTAGCTTGTACACTTATTTACAAGCTATGTGCCTCTTAGTATCGCTCCCAAATTAGTGTTATGCACCTTTACCTTTAGAAATTATATTTTTAATTTGAAAGGTTTAATTGTTAATAAAAGCCATGATCCAACAGAGATCTTTGTGTAACCTCATTTTACTTTGGGTTTCAATTCTTTCTTTGACTAACAGATTTGATGATGAGTAAAAGCACACAAAGAAACCATGTGACAGCTTGAGATTTTAATGTGATTATGGCTAATCTACAACCTATACCTGCCTTAGCCCCAAATTACATTACAACTTAAGGCAATGTAAAATCTAAAAATGTCTGCCTAAGATTTCAACTATGTTTCCAGTCATCTTATACAAACACTATTACAGCTTAACATAGGTTTCTCCTGTGAACCACCTTGACACATTTTCCGCCTTAAATGCACTAAAAGGTGCCTTCACTGTTTAAAAAAAAAAGATGGAGAGGACTGAAATAACCACAGAAGGAATTCTCACCAAAAGTCAAGTTGTGCAATGGAATACCCATAACTAGTCAATGGATTGTTACTTGCCTGAACATGAGAAGGTGCACTTAAGATGTAAACAACAGCACTGGCCAAATCCTCTGCTTTCAGACACTAGGTGAAAGAACACAGGTTGTCAGATAAAGCTAGATACGTAATAGAAACAATGCAAAAATACAGAATTGAGTGTAACAGATACACAGTGCTTCTTAAAGGAAAGGGGCATTAACTTTTGATACATAAAGCAATGCAGGACTGTTTGGGAGACAGCAGAGCAGGACAATTTATTTGGATTGCTCTAGCAATGATGGACTGAACTGCCTCTTTTTGTGCTGTAAACTTCAACATTTTTCAATTTATTTGGTTATCACAAATGATTTTGCTCGATATGGACAGTTGTGCAAGCCAACTGTGATATATTTGACAAATGGTTTCAATTGAACAAACAAACAAACAAACAGTCTCTTCCATTACAAAGCTAGAAGAAGTAACAATCCCTCACTCTGCTGGTCATTGCCATGATTTGATGCAGGTTCAAACCTACTTTATTTTTAACCATCCAGTCAACTTCGCTCGCAGATACATTGCTGTTTGGAATATTTTGTAGGTTTCCAAGTCTTTTAAGCAACTACCCTAATCAACCTTCTTGTCATAATGAAGATTTACTTGCCTTTGCCAGGGAGATTTAGATCAGACTGAACCAGTGTTTCAATCAATTTATCTTGCTTTACTATTCCACAACTAGTAAAAACAAAGGATACAGTATTTTTTTGGGGGAAAAAAAAAGTCTTCCCAATTTTTCCTGCCACCTTCAAAAAATTGTGTACATACAGATCCCAATTCTCTCTGATCCTGCAGTCCCTTTTTTTAGTTTATATCCAGGTGCAGGTCACTGATATACATCAAAATGATGCAAATGGTGGGAACATAATTGTATACGTCCTTCCAGTCTAAAGTTCTGTCCCTTAAGTTCAAAATTGATTAAGGACCATCATACATTTTATCTGTGTACATAACATAAACCCTCACAATTACCTTATAGAACTTGATTAAGTTAGTCAAACACAATTAGCCTTTAACAAAACTTTCTTGTTAACCCATAACTTGCTAAATGTTACTCTGCCCTAGATTATTTCACAGACATATACTGATTAGCTTCTGGTTAACATGTTTATCAAGGGATAGATCATCTGTATTCTATCTTGTTCTATGACATCAATGTCATTTCCAAGATAGGAAGATTGCGGTTAGAGTCTCTGCAATTTACACCCTCATTTTTCCCAGTTATCTAGATGCATCCCAATTGGACTGAGTGCCATTTTCATTTTGAGGAATGCAAGACTTAAATATTTGATTCTATATTTTAACCCTGTCCAATATTAGCTGCTACCTTCTCATTTACTGATACATTGAAGATGAGGATGCTGCTAGTGAAGACAAACGTAAAATACTGACTGAACATCAGCCACACCCTCTGTCTACATAAGAATTTCTTCTTTAGTCCCAGTTGTCCCCACCATCCCTTGGTCTGCCGCTTTTCTATACATATTTACAAACGACTTTTGAGGATAGGTTAGTGACTATCATCATTCTCTTATTCTCTTTCAGATCTACACAGTATTGCCTACATTCAGCTCAGTTCTCTACTATAATATGAAACTGACATTTGTCATCAGCATTCTTTTTCTGTTTCTTTTCATCTCAATGTCGTTAGTTATCCAGGAAACCAGCTTTGGATGCTCTTCCTTTTCCTTGTGGGTTGTGCTTTCTCTGTAGCTGAATCATCTTCTGGTTAAATACTTACCTTTGTTGAATTATTGTTTTGCCTACCAACTTTGGATTCTAATTCACCTAGGCCAGACCCTTTAACGTATTGAAGCTAACCTCAGTCTCCCATCTCCCCTTTAAGTATTCTAGCACATCACTGTAACTTGATCTTCACCATAACCATTGTAAACCTAATTATAATCACTGTCTCTGAATCACTGCTCCCAAATGGATTCCTTAATACAGTTATTTTCCCCAATACAAGATCCAGCACAAATCTCTGGGTTGGAAACAAACTGATCAACACCTATTTTGATTCATAACTGGAAATCAGGTATCAGGCCATGCTGATGTACTCTGTTTAAAAGATACTATTGAACCTCCAGTGGTCCTGGCCATTGTAAATGAGACATTTCTTTGAAGTGAGATTCAGGAATAAATTTGGAAACTCTCTTGTTTATTGATTATAATGTAATATAATTGCAACATGGACTTGGTCTTGTGACACTCATTTATAACATTATATAGCACAAAATGATCACCCATTTTGTAAAATCTAAATACTTGATTTCAGTCCAAGTTTGCACTAGTTAAGCTACATACAATCTACAGCAAAAATGCTGAATACTCACCCAACTGATGCATGGCTGTGCTTATGCTCTGCAGAGACGCATCACATTTTAACCACCTCTTTATTATCTGCGCAATATCCTTCAATGTCTTTCTCCCTTATGTATACTTTAAGCCTGCCTTTAAATTTTTTAATACTGTCTGTTCCAACAGGTTTAGTGGCAACACATTCCATTTTCCCTTGCATGTGTCCATACATTTTTCTTCACGTCATATGGATGGGAATGAAAAATTCATTAAGATATATATAGCATTTTCATCAAGGTTAGGCTTTGTTTCTCTCCTTCCTTTTAGGTTTTCAGATTACTTCATACCCTAGCATCTAAACAAACCTCATTTAGGCTCAGATACTTACAACAGTGACCAGGAAATTAGCAGCTAAGACATGCACAGGAATTTATTTACACAACAGTTTGGCTTCCATACCTCAAGGTTCTCATACGTTGCTGCAGCTTTTTCTGGATCATTGTTATAAAGCCTAAATGCAAACTCTGTTTCCACCAGTCCTGGAGATACAGACTGTAGAGGGCACAAGGCAAAGTTACAACATCAGTTTGCATTTATATATAGCACTTATAATGTAAAACAAACCAAGGTGCTCCACAGGAACATTATCAAAGAACAAAACGGTAACATGGACTACAGCCAGTCAAGCAGCATTTGTTGTTTCTTTACTTTGACAATCACAGGAGTCACAAGTTCAAAAACCAAGAATTTTCTTTAACTAATGACAACAGAATGGTTTGGGAGAGGTACAATGCCTATTCGTAGGTCCTTGTCAGCAAAAAAAATTAACTGTCTTCTGTAAAAAAAGAAAACACTAAACAAAGATACCCGTTTTAGCCTTGAGCAAACAGAGTTAAGCAAGCAAAGGTCCTCCTATATATTTGTCCATAAAGGATACTAGTCACTTTATTCCCTAACCACGTAGGTCCAGTATAGTGTTTACTGTTGAAGACCAACTCCTGATATTAAGAAGAGACAGGGGGGGTTCAGGGTGGGAAACTCTGAAGTACGGTTTAACAGGAGGATGCATTTTAAATTTTATGCAAGCCTGGACTTGTGACGACAGCCAACAAGCAAAGGGAAGGAAAGGAGAGATTGCGGTTTAGTTGGACGGGATGAGCAAGGAGAAATAGGACCTCAAAAGAGTAATGATCACAGGATTGCTACCAGTGCCACTTGCTGGTCAAAATAGTAATTAGCAGGATACATCCAATGAATACATGGTTGGAGAGATGGTACAAAGATAAAAGGATTCAGATTCCTGGTGCAGTGGGACTGGTTCTGGCAGATACAGCACCTGTACGATCTAAATGGGTTGCACCTAGGCAGAACCAAAACCGATGTCCAAGGGGATATATTTGAAAGTGCGGTTGGGGAGGGTTTAAACTAAAATGATGGGGAGTTGCATATCTAAACTGGAAGACAAATGACAAGGAAATAAGGACTAAAATCCAAAGACAGAATGAGAAATAAGAAAGATAATAGGCAGAGAATTCAAGGGTTAGAATCAAATAGAACAAAGAATGCTAAAAAAGACATGCCTTATGATGCAACTTTCACAGTAAAGTGAATTGATTAGTTGTGCAAATAGATCTAAACAGGTATAACAGAGGTGATTACAGAAACGTGCTGTGCAGTGACCAGAAATGGGAACTGCATATCCCAGGGTTTTCAGTTTTTATAAATGGCAGACAAAAAGTAAAAGTTGGGGCGACGCTGCTGATTAAAAAGGAAATTAATGTGATTGTGAGGAAGAATATTATCTCTAGTGAAGTAGAATCTGTATGGTTGAGCTGAGAAAAACCAAGAGGCAGAAAATTATAGTGGGGGTTGTATGTAGACCCCAAACTGCAGCAGTAATATTGAGGAAGGCATTAAACAAGAAATTAGGATACAAGTAATAAAGGCATGCTGTAATTATAGGAGACTTCAATCTGCATACAGATTGGGCAAATCAAATCAGAAGCAAACTGTGAAGGAGGAATTCTTGGACTGTATAGAAGCAGCACAGTGGCTCAGTTGTTAGCACTACTACCTCACAGCACCAGGGACTCCGGTTCAATTCTGGCCTTGAATGGCTGTGTGGAGTTTGCACGTCCTCCCCACGTCTGCATGGGTTTTCTCCAGGTGCTCCAGCTTCCTCCCACAATCCAAAAGATGTGTGTGTAAGTTAGGTGGACTGGCCATACTGAAATAGTCTATAGTGTTCAGGGATGAGTAGGCTAAATGGATCAGCCATGGTAAATGTGATAGGGTTCGGAGGGCTGATGTGGACTCGTTGGGCCAAATGGCCTCCTTCTGCACTGTAGGGGTTCTGCAATAGCTTTATGGATCAATACATTGAAGAATCAAAGAGGGAAAAGGTCATCCTTGACTGGGTACTGTTTAACGAGGAATGAATAATAGACAATCCAGTTATGAGTGGGACCTTAGGGAAAAAGAGACTACAATACGATGAATTCTTCATTAAGATGTAGAGTGATGCAGTTGTTTGAGACTAGGGTCCTGATTTTAAATAAAGGAAATTACAATGGTATGAGGCGTGAACTGTGATAAAAAAACTCAACATGTCTGGCAGTATCTGTGGCCAGAAAGCAGAGCTAAGATTTTGAGTCCAATAATCAGTCTTCAGAACTGCCCAATTTCTTCAGCAATTTCAGTTTTTGTTTCAGATCTTCAGTATCCACAGTTCTTTGTTTTGTTTACAAAATTTGGGGATTGTTATTTAAAAGGATGACGGTAGAGAGGCAATGGCATATACTGAAAGAGTGCATGGTCAAACTGCATAAGTTATTCATTCCAGTTTGGCATAAAAATGGGAAACATGGTCAAAGCATGACTAACAAGGGACATAAGTGATAGTATTAAATCCAAGGAAGAGGCACACAAATTGGCTAAACAAAAAAAAACAGACCTGAGAATTAGGAACAGTTGAGGCTTCAGCATAAGGAGAGAAAGAGATGATGAAAAGTCAAAAATAGAGAATAGGGAAAGATGTTCGATCTACTGAAGGAGTGCAATGAATGTCTCCCAGAGTTATTCCTGGGATTGTGCGGCCGACATACAGGGAGGGACGGGCTCAGTTAGACTAAGGGTGGATCTCATAGGAACCTATAAAATCCTAAACAGGATTAGACTGGGTAGAAGCAGGAAGGATGTTCTCGGTAACTGGGAAGTCCAGAACCAGCGTTCACATTCTAAGCATCAGGGGTAGGCCTGTAATGGCAGAAATGAGTAGAAATTTCTTCACTAAGAGACTAGTGAGCCTGTGGAATGCTCCGTGACAGGAAACTGTTGAGGTCAAAGCATTGAAGAATTTCAAGAAAGATGTATATATAATCCTTCGCACTAAAGGAATCAAAAGATATGGGGAGGAAGCAGGAATGGGATACTGAATTAGGTGATTAGCCATGGTCGTACTGAATGGTTGAACAGGCTCAATGGCCTATATTCTATGTTTTCTCGTAAGAGAATGATTTGGATTAGGGAGAGATAGATCGTAGGTGTGGGGATGGGGACTGGTTGGCAGAGAGCTGGCAGGTAAACAGCTGAGTCAAATAATCGTGATGATGGAAGCAGTAAGTTTGTTAGAAGTGCGGAAGTGAAACGGTTTTAAATGCAGTCCTCTGTTGAATCACTATATCTTATTGTCATTTACCTGTTGGAATTTAAAAGCCTCAGAAAACCTAGCAAAAATGAATAAATGCATTTTACAAAAGATCATGAAAATGACAGTATGCTGCCTTAGAAGATTTTACTGGCTGCCCTACCTACTGAACAGGTTGGCCTCAACCATTGCCAGTCCATCTCCCACCCAATTAAAATTGGGGAAGATGAGCTAGAAATTATTCATCCTTCAATTCTCACCAGCACCCAATACCCCTGTTCGCAGGATTAAATACTACTCCTCATATACCTTCAGGATCTGAAAAACAGATCAGAATTGACATTCTCTTCTATTGCCTATTACATTAGAGTAGATTAAGTCATCAGCCAAGACTGCTCACAGTTCAACACAATCATGGGTCATCTTAATTCCTAAATCACTTCCAATACCAGTATTATCAACAGAAATGAAGAACATGTTAAAGGAAGAGGATAATTTAAAATGTATAATATGACTGAGGATAATTTATTTTTAAAAATGCCTGGCTAAATAGTGACTAGTGCCATCAAAAAGGTTTCTAACAACTGGGAAGCAAATGGCCGGCTGGTCAAGTTTGTTGAGTCAGACAAGGTGAGTTTTCCCCTTTCTGCACTCAAGCGTAAAGACAGGTGTTTAAAGGTGGCCCCAACATCCCTAACTTCCAAGATTACTCAACAGATCATATGCCAATCAGCACAAGATTGGACAGGAAACATGGGCAGGTTTCTATCACACACCTCAACATTGGTCACCAGAAGTCACTGGCTGGCATTATCTGGATCCTAAAGACTGCCAGTTGAGGCATCCTCCTTGAGAAATTTAAGTGAGAAGATAAGAAGTATTTTCTTGCTGCGAGTTGGGAATGCAAATGGAGAAACACCCTATAGTCTCCTAGCCCAGCAGGCATGTTGCCCTGCTTTCCCAATCAGTAAACTTGCCACCACCTTTCTTGCTGACAGGAAAGCAGGTAATTAGGGAGGTGGCAAGTGGTAGCCCTTAAGAGCCCATTCATTGGCTACTTACAGTAAAAGTTTAATTGGTGGCAGGTTCAGAAGGTTGTCCATGGAATTTCATGTCCAGAACTTAATTGGCAAGGTGGTAGGAAGGGCACAAGTGGCTTGCCACGATCAAGTCTACATGGACCTCAGTAAGGCACTCAACAAGGTTCTGCATGGTAGACTGGTTAACAAGGTTAGACCACGTGGAATACAGGGAGAACTAGCCATTTTGATACAAAATTGACTCAAAGGTAGGAGACAGAAGGTGGTGATGGAGGATTGCTTTCGTTGGTGTGCCACAGGGATCGGTGCTGGGTCCACTACTTTTGTCAATAATACAAATTGTCTGGATGTGAACAGAGGAGGTACGGTTAGTAAATTTGTGGATGACACAAAATCGGAGGTGTAGTGGACAGTGAAGAAGATTACCTCAGTATACAACAGGATGTTGATCAGGTGGGCCGAGGAATGGCAGATGAAATTTAATCTAGATAAATGTGAGGTGCTATGTTATGGTAGAGCAAATCAAGGCAGGACTTATGCACTTAATGGTAAGGTCCTGGGGAGTGTTGCCGAACAAGAGATCTTGGAGTGCAGGTTCATAGTTGCTGGAAAGTGGAGTAGCAGGTAGACATTTGGTATGCTTGCCTTTGTTAGTTAGTACATTGAGTATAGGAGTTGGGATGTCATGTTGCGGCTGTACAGGACATTGGTTAGGCCACTTGTGGAATACTGTGTTCACTTTTGGTCTCCTTGGTATACGGAAGATGTTATAGAGTCATAACGTCATACAACACGGAAACAGACCCTTCAGTTCAACCAGTCCATGCTGAACATAATCCCAAACTAAGTTAACCCCACCTGCCTGCTCCTGGCCTATATCCCTTCCAAACATTTCCAATTAATGTACTTATCCAAATGTCTTTTAAACATTCGAACTGTCCCCACATCCACCACTTCCACACGCAAACCACCCTCTAAAAAAATTTGCCCCTCATGTTTTTTTTAAAAATCTCTCTCCTCTCATCTTAAAAACGTGCCCGCGAGCCTTGAAATCCCCCATCCTAGAGAAAAGACACCTATCATTATAAAATAATGAGGGATATAAATAGAGTTAAACTATAAAAGATCACCTCTCAACCTCCCATGCTCCAGTGAAAATAGTCTCAGCCTATCCACTTTTCATTTTAACTCAAACCTTCCATACCCGACAATATCCTGGTAAATCTCTTCTGAGCCCTCTCCAACTTAATAATATCTTTCCTATAACAGGGTGACCAGAACTGGACACAGTATTCCAGAAGAGGCCTCACCAATGTCCTGTACAACTTCAACATGACATCCCAACTCCTTTGTTGTTAAACTTGAAAGGGTTCAGAAAAGATTTACAGGGATGTTGCCAGGTTTGGAGGGTTTGAGCTATAAAGAGGGGCTGAATAGGCTGGGGCTATTTTTCCTGGAACATCGGAGGCGGAGGGGTGACCTTATAGAGGTTTATAAAATCACGGGGGCATAGATAAGGAGAATAAATCAAGGTCTTTTCCCCAAGATCGGAGTCCAAAACTAGACAGCATTGGTTTAAGGTGAGAGGAAAAAGATTTAAAAGGGATGTAAGGGGCAACTTTTTCATGCAGAGGTTGGTGCATGTATGGAATGAACCACCAGAGGAAGTGGTGGAGGCTGATACCTTTGTAAATGTTCTAATTGTATCTGGAGGGGTAGATGAATCGGACGGGTTTAGAGGAATATGGGCCAAACGCTGGCAAAATAGGAGTACATTAATTTAGGATATCTGGTTAGCATGGAAAAGTTGGACCAAAGGGTTTGTTTCCATGCTGTATCTTTCTGACTCTATAACTTGCCTAATTATTTCCCTTTTTGCTCATGCCAGGGAGAGGATAATTCCACCCAGTTTTTTTTTAAATAACACATACCAAGAATGTTCCACATTCAGCCTTATATACTTAACTGTTAACTGGATTAAGTTTACATGGCTGGTGAGAGCACTCTGCAACCTCATACAAGTGGCCATTCCTCAAATTTAAAACTTGATATCACAGGTCAGCAGCCTATTTGACTCTGGGTATGTCAATTGAGACTTCATCAATCATTCACCCTCTACCCACCTCCAGTGATCAGATGCAATGAGTGGAACCCTGGCTAGTTATCCTTTTCCCAACCTCTACATTCCCGTGCAAAGGTGTTATCTGTTTTGAAAGTAGCTGCACTGTAATATTTCACCAATCTCGAATGTCCCATGCAAGGAAGCCTCCTTTCATTTAGTTGGCGCAGTTCTTACCGTAGCCCGTATGTGCGTCTGGGCTTCTTGAAGCTCTTGCCTTAACCCCTCAGTCAGGGCAGTTACTGCAAACTTTGTAGCTGCGTAGAAATGGGTTGCTGAGGATGGGACTACTCGGTGGCCACTCATACTAAAATGGCAAAAAAAGAGGGGAGAAAAGATGGAGTCAGGTCTACCACAGCACGTAATGTGCCAAATAAATCTTATAGACAGGACCTGGATAAATATACATACCTACACAAGTCAATTGCATAAACATGGCTTTATTCCATGGAATGCAAAATGTACTAATAAAAATTAGGCCAATTACATTTAAAATTACATTCAACAAAAAAAAATCAGCTGGTCAACCAGCATCTTCAGACAGATGATTTCCGGTAATACTCAACTGTTCTTCTAAATAGGTTTCAAATGGAGGGAGAAAGAAAAGCAGAAAAAGCTGCATAACAATCTTGAAGAAATGGAGCGCAAATTCGTCAACATTTGTTTTTTTTTAAAATAAATAATGGTAGCTAACAAAGCGCAAGTAAATCGTAATGCAGACACATCTTGTAGATTACCTGCAAGAGTATGGAATTGGCAACACCACAACAGTCACAGTTAAGGTGCAGATTTACTTCGATTCTTTGGCCAAATGGAGAGTGCTTAGACATTGACAAAGAGATGTTTGGCATTTTAATAGGAATTACAATAGTCTGGAGTCCTGTACTTGCAGACAAAGTTGGATCTCTGCATTAACTTTTAAACTGCCAACCTTCCCCGTTTTTTGTGACTTTTATATACTCGTTTCAAGTGCAAAACTATTAATTTGACATATTTCTAAACACTAAACAACACTATTCCATACAAGCAACTTACAGTGGGCTACCTCCTCTCCTCACACAAACTGCAGTTTAAACACTGCGACGTGTCAGTTTTATTAACGTTCAAGTTGGTATGTGATATAAATGAGGTTGTTGGCTTGCTCACCGAGCTAGCTGGTTTTTGTACAGACGTCACTACGCTAGGTAACTTCATCAATGCGGCCTCCGATGAAGCGATGCTGTTCTACTCCACTTGGTACTTATATGATCCACTCTGTTAAGTTGGGTTGTGACATTTCCAGTTCTGTTCTGCATAGGTTTGTATATGGGGTCTAATTTTACATGTTTATTGTTTCAATCATGGGTTGAAAACCAGGCCTCTAGGAATTCCTGTGCATGTCTGTGGTTGGCTTGACCTAGGATGGTCACAATGTCCCAGTTAAATTGATGGCCTTCATTGTTCGAGTGCACTGAGAGGAGGGAAAGTTTGTCACGTCGTTTTGCCGTTAGCTGGTTTTCATGTATCCAGATGGCTCGTTTCCTTCCAGTCTGGCCAATGTAATGTTTGTTGCAGTCATTGCAAGGTATTTTGTCAACTACGTTGGTCCTACATGTCACGGGTATGGGTTCTTTGGTCCTTGAGTGTTTGTCGTAGTGTGGCTGTGGGTTTGTGCCCTGCCATGATTCCTAGTGGTCGTAGGAGTCTCGTTGTCAGTTCTGATATGTTCTTGACATCGGCCGCTTCTACAGACTACCCAAAGTCCATCAGCCAGACATCCCCCTCAGACCCATTGTCTCCCTATGAGGCACACCTACACACAAACTGGCCAAGGACCTACAACAACTTCATCCACAACCTGAGCTACAAATCTTCAATACAAATATTGAAAGCTGTGCACGCTGCCTCAAAAATGACCAGGTACCAATTGCATTATCACTTGGACCTATACAGAGGTCAGACAGTTTTTAAAAATCAGTGATGTAGAGGTGCCGGTGTTGGACTGGGGTGGACAAAGTCAAAAGTCACACAACACCAGGTTATAGTCCAACACATCTATTTGGAATCATGAGCACCTAACAAAGGGCTAAGCTCCAAAAGCTTATGATTTTAAATAAACTTGTTGGACTATAACCTGGTGTCATGCGATTTCTGACTTATAAAAAAAAAAATCAGTGACAGTATCATTTTAGTGTACACATTTAGTTTCTCTCACCAGGGTCCATAATTGTACACGAATAGCCTCATGGTGTTCTTGAATTCTACATTTAAATACCACAAAAAGCAGACACCAAAATTATTGAATCATAGAAACCGTACATCAGCCATTCAACCCATCAAGTCCGCACCATCCCTCTGAAGAGTATCACACCCATATCCACCCCCCCCCCTTTACCCTATCCCTGCATTTTCCATGGCCAAGCCACCTAACCTGCGCATCTTTGGACTGTGGCAAGAAACCAGAGCCACCGGGGGGAAATCCACAAAGACACGGGGAGATTGTGCAAACTCCTGAATACTTTTCTTTGGTATTCACAACTGAGAGGGACCTCATTACAGGGGAGGACAGTGTGAAACAGGCTGGTAGGCTGGAGGAGGTAGATGTTAGTAAGGAAGATGTACTCGGAATTTTGAGGAACTTGAAGATAGATAAGTCCCCCGGGCCTGATGGGATTTATCCAAGTATTCTATGGGAAGCAAGGGAAGAGATTGCAGGGCCTTCGGCATTGATCTTTTCATCCTCACTGTCCATGGGTATAGTGCCGGAAGACTGGAGAGTGGCAAACATCATTTGCTTGTTCAAGAAGGGGAATAGGGATAACTCCGGAAATTACAGGCCAGTTAGTTTTACTTCAGTGGTGGGCAAATTATTGGAAAGAGCTCTGAGAGATAGGATTTATGATCACTTGGATAGGCATAGTTTGATTTGTGATAGTCAATATGGATTTGTAAGGGGTAGATCATGTCTCACAAACCTTATTGAATTCTCTGAAGAGGTGACCAAACACGTGGATGAAGGTAGAGCAGTGGATGTGGTATACATGGATTTAAGTAAGGCGTTTGATAAGGTTCCCCCTGGTAGGCTCATGCAGAAAGTAAGGAGGCATGGGATAGGGGGAAATGTGGCAGATTGGATTCAGAATTGGCTGACCCTTAGAAGACAAAGGGTGGTATGGATGGAAAATATTCAACATGGTGCTCAGTTATGAGTGGTGTACCACAAGGATCTGTCCTGGGTCCTCTTCTATTTGTGATTTTTGTAAATGATTTGGATGTAGGAGTGGAAGGGTGGATTAGTAAGTTCACGGATGATACAAAGGTGGGTCGAGTTGTGGATAGTGTGGAGGGCTGTTCTAGGTTACAGAGGGACATTGATAGGATGCAGAGCTGGGCTGAGAAGTGGCAGATGGAGTTTAACCCTGAAAAGTGTGAGGTGATTCATTTTGGAAGAACAAACTTGAAAGCAGAGCACAGGGTTAACGGAAAGATTCTTGGCAGTGTGGAGCAGAGGGATCTTGGGGTTCATGTCCACAGTTCCCTGAAAGCAGGTGGATAGAGTTGTTAAGAAGGCGTATGGTGCGTTAGCTTTCATTAGAGGGATTGAGTTCAAGAAGTTATGCTCCAGCTTTCCAAAAGCCTGGTTCGGCCACATCTGGAGTATTGTGTCCAGTTCTGGTCGCCTCATTACAGGAAAGATGTGGAAACGTTGTAAAAAAGGTGCAGGGGAGATTTACCAGGATGTTGCCTGGAATGGAGGGAAGGTCTTACGAGGAAAGGTTGAGAGAGCTAGGGCTTTTCTCGTTAGAATGATGAAGGATGAGAGGTGACTTGATAGAGGCGTACAAAATGATCAGAGGTATAGATAAAGTGGACAGCCAGAGACTTTTTCCTAGGGTGGAGGTAGCTATTACGAGAGGGCATAGTTTTAAAGTGAGTGGAGGTAGATATCGGGGAGACGTCAGAGGTAGGTTCTTTACTCAGAGTTGTAGGGGCGTGGAATGCATTGCCGGAGAGGGTAGTGGAGTCGGCCTCGTTAGGGTCATTTAAGCTGCTATTAGATAAGCATTTGAATGATAATATAAAGGTAGGGGTGGAAGTTAGATAGACCTTAGGTTTAGGGTAAAAGTTCGGCACATCATCGTGGGCCGAAGGGCCTGTACTGTGCTGCACAGTTCTACGTTCTACGTTCCACACACCAGAGGTTAGAATCGAACCTGGATCCCTGGCACTGAGAGACAGCAGTGCTAACCACTGACCCACCATGCTGCCCTTATTATATTGACATAGTCTGATAATGAACAGCACAAAAAATAAAATTATTTTGTTGCAGCTGGAAGGAAAGAGTTGGCTCACAATAAACAAGAAAAAAGATTTCAAGAAGATGCTCTTAACTGTTAAGAAGTAACAAAACCTCTTTGAATGATCTGTCACAAAATGGATTATTTCAAATAAGAATTCACAACAGTGGTGAGCTTGGCTTTGTGCTGATTGATACATTGTACAATGTATGAGACTTTAAAAAGAAAAGAAAACTCCACCTTGAGACTTTAACAGCAGCTGACCTTTCCCATTAGGCACAACCACTTCATTTTATAGTTTGTACCCACAGGTCTGGAAATACTTTCTGCAGTAAATCACTGAGTAACCATTTGGGTACTTTCAGTACATATACACTCATCTTTGAAGGTCAAAGCACATGCAAGGCTGCATTGCGGCAAAATTATTTGTTTCCTGTCTTGCAGCATAATAAACCAAAAAACTCAGTCAATATTTTTTCATGCGTCAACATCTAGTCTTGATTATCATTCTCAAATCCAGGTTACGGATACACTTTGCATGTAGTTGAGAGGCACACCAGATTGTAATTTTGTTTTGCTCCTTTAACCGGGAGTACTCTAATGAAAGCAGCAACAAGAATGTCTAGTTTTGTGGCACATTTCAAGGTGCTTTAGAAATGTGTTTTCAAACTGAACTCGACATCAAGAAAAATGATGATAGCAGACTTGGTAAGAGAGAAAATAAGAATAGAAATTGCTGGAAAAGCTCAGTTCTGAGACACAGCCACCAGACCCGAAACATTAACTCTGATTTCTCTCCATAGATGCTGCCAGACCTACCGAGCTTTTCCAGCAAATTCTGTTTTTGTTTGTTTCTGGATTTCCAGCATCCACAGTTCTTTCATTTTTTTTTGTTTGGAAATGGATAGATAGGTCTTAAGCACTGTTTTAAACAAGGATAGAGAGACAGAGACTTACAAGAAAGAATTTCAATCCTTAGGATGCTGACACCTCACCACCATATTAATGGAGCGACTTAAAACCAGAATCA